TTGGATGTGATATTTTAGGTATCTCAACCAGAGACCCAAAAGAAAGAGGAGATATTACAGGCCAAGAAGACGGGCCCTAACATTACTTTGGCTTCCATACAACGAATATACAATCAAAACTAAAAGGAGACGCTCTCAGAGCACTATACACAATAGCCTCTAAACAGAAACCTCTGTATGATACACACAGGTAGACAGAAGATATACCTCGGTGTATGGATAAAACTATGACATAAGCTACCAGGTCCTAGGAAGATCATATCTACACATGTATATACATAGTTACATTCATCTGATCCCAATGTCTGGTAAGCAAGTCAAGTTCCCAGATCTTTTTCCATAAACCTGGGATTCGAGCTTCAATGTCAGAAATGGCCTTGGATGAACTGGAAGACAAGATGTTACTATGGTCGCACACTTGGACTTTTTATTTTGTGATAACCTCATCATGCAGGTGCAGTACCCTCTGATTTAACAGCATTAAGATTGTTGTATGTGCTACCAAGTTGAGCACTCCCAGACCCAATATCGTATGAAGAAAGCAACCTTCTCTGCATTCATTATGTAAGACGTTAACAAATTATTTAAATTGACAATGTCTTCCAACTATATTTTGATATTTCATGCATGCAGGAAAAAAGTCCTTCCCATGGCACAAAAGTCATAACAATGCTACTTGTACTTCACTCCTATGAAATCATCACAGAAAGTCTGCAGCCTCTAAATAAAAATGAATTGGGTAGCACGTAAACTAAAGATTCAAGGTCTTGGTTTGCCAGAGAAAAAGACCAGCAGCTACACAATTCACATTACTTAAAACCCATGATGTGGCAACTAGTTCAGTGTTATGACAGGCATCAAGTGGTCAAAATCTAGAATCCGGGATAAGTCATAAAGCTTCTGTTACCATCCCTTTTATGACCAAAAGATGTATCATTGAAAAAAAATTCAAAAGAAACCTAAAGCATGAGATCTAAATCTTGAATATGAGAAGAAAGCACTTACATGATCTTCAAACTCAGGACTAGTCAAGTTCAATGAAAGGTTTCTCATCAATAACGACACCTGCAAAGAGCCAAATAAAGTCTCAAAAGTTGATAATGAACTTCAAAACCAAGAGAGTTAAAAACAAGCAAATCTAAAGAATTAGGATTTTAACAAAATGTGAGGCATGGTTAATGTGCTGGACATACAATAGAAAGGATAAGTGGAAGCTAGCCCTGGAAGCTTCTTCTAGGCTCTAATTTATTGTAACAGATATAGCTAGTATCTGCATGATTCCCTTCTTCCAATATCCATAAAAAGGAAAAAGAACCAAAAGAGAGAGAGGAAAGGTATCATCATTAGAGGAACTTACAGTTTCCAAATTTATCGGATCCATCTGCTTCAATTTCTGTAAGTGCCCACTTGCATTGGGGTCAAAGACACTGCCAATGAAGCTGTACACTTGAGCAAAATCTGGCAAAACTGGATCAAATAGAAAGAGAACATCATCACAATTAAAGAACAAATTACAAACAACAGAATTGATTTGAAGCTCTACATTTCTAAGGTGCATCTTATGACTGATACATGTCTCAGGAAGAACTGCCTACTTAACTTTGTTCTGTTAGAAGCAGGCAACTACCAGTCAAAAAAAGGGAAAAAAAAAAAAGAAGCTTTAAAAGAATGGAGAGAGAAGACAGCATATTTGAGAACCATTACAATCAAGCAAAGCCAAGAACAATGACAGATGAGAATACAGATTGCCCTTCATCACATTTGAGACAGCTAGAACTCATGAACAAGGTAAAAAAGGCATATCAACTTCATCTGCTTGAATTACTACTACATAAGCTGATAAAGCTCATATTAGGATAAGATGAAGCAATATGACAACATTCTAGCAACAACCTAAAAAGCTTAAATACATGAAACTGGGCTGAATCATTTTAAGTTCTGAAAAGGAATAGTAAATTGATCAAACACAAACCATGTCCTGTCACAAGACTTCCAACTTATATAGTTTTTTTAATGGTAACTGATTACAGAATTTAACTTTTTAAATCCAATAATGGCATTGTAGACTAATATTATTTATTATAAGACATTTTTCCATGGAAATTATAGGGCTATAAAGACTAATCATACTTCAAATTTCAGTAAATAAGAGAAAATTCTTCATAAAAAATCTAGAAGTTTTGGTTCAGTAAGGACAGTCAAGCTCAAAAGAGAGACAATATACAGACCTCTTGTTGGCTTGCCATGATTCCCCCAGTCAACTGGTTGACCAACTGGCAAAGTCATGTGAGTGCTCTCATTGCTAGTAGTATAACAGCCATTTTGGGTAATGGTTGGTCCAACCAATACTGCATCATCTAATAGAAAATATAATTCAAACATCACTATGACAATTTTGAGCAGAAAGAGAAAGTAGAAAATTTAAGAGCTTGAACAACTAAAACCTTTTGTCACTTGTGATTCACACACTGGTGAGACAGTGTTAAAACTCCAGGAAGCAGCACTTGTAATTGGATTCCCAAGTACTGATGATGAATCCGTCCTGTATGCATAACCAGGTCCGTGCAAAGCAGATTTAGATTGAAATGGGCCAGCAGCTTGGGATGCAACAAGAACTGCCACATAGATGTGCATAAAATTGAGGGTCAACTAAAGATCCACCAACCACTACCATATAACCAAATAAATGGAAATGATTGACGTTACTGACCATTTTTAGGTGCTTTTTGTGGGTATGGATGAGAAGCTTTCCTTTTTGGACGAGGGGGAGGCACATGTTCACTAGTCCCACTCTTCTGAACCTTCAGAAAATACTTCTGTGCATGGCTACGTATCTGCCAAGTGGAAGCTTGTCAGCCAAACATATTGAAAATGGCTTGTTGGAATGTAAACCAGTAAAATCCACAATGCAATGATCACCTCAGTTGCTATAATTCATACAAATTAGTGAATTCCAAGTGGTATTCTTTCAAACCCACTAACTGGACAATTTTGAGACTGAATCAATTCTTTTGTCTTCAAGAAACAATAAAGAAAGTTATAAATTTGTGCCTCAGTCTGATCCAAAGAAATGATCTTATGGTTTTATGAAAATGAAAACTCCAATTCAAGCTACCTAACTCTGAGATGGAACCACATCAACTTGACTATGATTCTCAAATTACCTGGATAACTGTCTTTGACCCAACAAATGCTTCAATCTTCTTCCAGTCACGATCGAACCTGAGACAAGTCAATTAAACAGAAATTGAAAAGAAGTTTCCATTAGCAACCAGAAGTCAAGACGCAACTTTTATTAACTAAACCATAAAGCTTAATTGCTGAAGGACATAAAAAGCTCACTATTGTCTCTTCTATGTTGGGATTATTCCCAATATTTTAGTTCATCAATGCTTGAATAAAAACACCAATGAAATTTAAGTGTTTCACTCAAGATTCAATGGTGAAAATGACAACCAAAAAAACACCCCTATGCTGCCATTTAGCTTAAGCTGAAGCAACTTAATTTCATCCGCGGATGCAACATCATACTTGACACTCAAGATCTGCTTTCCCTTTCTCATAAACCAAACAAAGGAACTTCAAGTACAGTAAACATTAAATGTTGAAATAGAATAAGTAACAAATAACATAGATATACAACTGTAATCCAACTTTAAAAAAAAAAAAAAAAATCGTTACATCTGTCCAAACTAGAACAACAGAAGAACAACAGAAGATCAAAAGTTTCCATCTTTAGCCTGAAATTTAAAACCTAATTTCCCATTTGGTTGCAGACAGATTCACGTGTACACAAAAAGAAAGAAACTTCACGTTTAACAAAAGAGAAAGAAACTCCATCCAAAATCTAATGATTTCCTTCTCTCACCACCTAATTCACCTCAAATTCATCATAACAAACAAAAAGTCCTTCAATTACCATTACCGTGAACCAAAAGAAGCTGAATTTAACGAAAGAAACAAAAAATACTCACAGCTGCAGCGCTTCTAAAAACTTGTCGTGCTCCAGGTCAGTCCAGTTCTCTCTAGATTTGGTAATGGTATACGGCTTCCGGATCTTCTTACTCAGGTCATCAACAGAGGAGCTGGTGCTTCCGGCCACAGCGGAGGTGGCAGCAGCAGGAGGAGGCGGCGGCGGCGGCGGAGGAGGAGTGAGACCAGGAAGGCCCATGTTCATAGGATCGAAGAAGTAAAAGCGATGAACAGGGTTAGGGTTCACAGACAACATAAGAAGTCGGTAAAAATTGGACGGCGATTTGTTCGGGGCGTATTCGTTTGGGGTTTGGATGGTGACGCGACGCCGGTTTCTGCAAATCAGACAATCATCAAATGGCTGCCGACTTTTTCTTTTTTTGTATTTATAGAGGGCAGAGGGGGAAGGGGGCGGTGGGCCTGCCGAAGTTTAGAACGATACCCGTGGTACACGTGTCGAATCTGGTTGTCTGAAATTTTTACTTTCGGGGTTTGGACAAAGGCTCGTGGGTCGTGGCGGTTTTGCTTTGATTTGCTTTGCCGAGTGAATAATTAATTCACTATTTTTACTTCTGGAATTTAAAATAAGGAATTTTCTTTTTTTTAGTTACACAATATAAGTAATTATTTCACTTTAATTATTTTATTTTATTTATATATTATACGATTTAAATTTATAATTTTTTATTTTTAATAAAAAAAATAATCATTAAATTATTTAAATTATCGATAAAATAAAAATTTTTTTAATTTGTATTGTTAAGGTATATATTAAAAATATTTTTTTATAATAAATATATATAAATAAATATTAATTTTAAAATTAATAGCTAATGAATAAATTAAATTAAATAATTGATAAAATAAATATTTTTTTATTTTTTTAATTCTTAACTTATATTTTTAAGTACAAATTAAAAAAAATCTTTAAAATAAATATTATGTCTTAATTTTTTTTTACATTTTAAAAAAATAAAATAATCTGTTATTAAGAAAAATATTAAAAGGGTTAATAATAATTATATAATAAATTTAATAAAAATAAAATTTACATTATATTTCTTTATTTAATAATAATTATTTAACATATTAACATTTTAAATAATAAAATATTTTAATTTCTCATTTGCTTTGAAGTTTCACTTATTTTTTAATAATATAATAAGAAGAATGTTTATTACTCAAATAAATTATTTTAATAAACTCTCATTTTATAAAAATAAAAAACAAAAAAAAATATTTTTAGGGTGAAGGAGTGTAATTGAATATTCAAAAAAATTACGTAGTAATTGAATCCAAATAATTTTAATTTCAAATTTATTATTTTCATTATTTTAAGTAAAAAATTAGTTTACAATTTATATTATATTTGACTATAAAGACTTTTCTCTCCTAATTAAAAAATTTTTAATTTTATAATTCAATAAAATTAGAAAGGAAGAAATTCATATTTTAGGTAAAAATTTTGATTTTTGAATGCATGCCGGACCTAGAATACAATCAATGACTCTTTTTTCTTTTTTTTTTACATGAAAAAATTTTTTAAAAAGAGTATTACACCATAAAAATTTAAAATAATGTGATATTTATGGTTTAAGATGCTCCGTAGCATTACAGCCACTGCTGCGGGTGCGAATCAATGATCTTAGCTGGGAATCTGAAGTGGGGAAATGTTCTTTGATGGAGGACTAAGGTGATGCCACGTATGCCGAACGTTTCAAATTACGGATAGGCCCTCTCTGAGGGACGCCGAAGAGGAGATGGAAATTTCTAGACTTGCTAAGCTTCCGAAGAGAAAATAAATAAATAATAATAAAATAAAAATACTTATTTATTTTTATAAATAAATTTAAAATTAAAAACTGACAATTATTATTTTTTAAAATAATACTATGGTATAATAGTTTTAAATCAATTAAATTATATTATTTTAAAAACATTATAATT